CCCCCGCCCCCCGGCCTCTCCGACGGGAGCGCAGTGTCTGCCACGTGCGGAGCCGCTTCTGTGCGCAGACATGACCCGCAGAACCGCGTGGCCGCCACCCCGGCCTGCGGGAGGCGGGACTTGGGCTCCCATCTCAGGGAGGGCAAAGCCGAGGCTCAGCTCTGGGGGGCTGCGGAAGGCACCGTAGTGGGTGTGGTGGGGATTTGAACACAGGTCACCAGGCTCCAAAGTCTCGGGGTTCAACTGTCCCCCCACCTGTCCGCTTCAGGGGTTTTTTTACATGGACGCACAGCACCCGAGTTGCACTGTGGTTTTTCAGTCTTCGTGGGGGTGGGGGTGGGATTGTGTTACTGTTTTCTCCGTCTTTATAGAATTTCTCTTCCTTCCCCCTCACCCTGAGGGCCAGGCTTGCTGCCACGTCCCTCCCAGCCCGTCCCTCACCTCTCCTCCTCCCGCCCCTCACTGTCCAGTCTGCTGGCCACACGGAGTGTAGACGTCAGCCCAGGGTCTCCGAGTGGGGTGCTCCCAGGGGCTCCGCCCCACGGGGACCCTGGGCCCTCCATGACTTGACTTCGGGGCCCCGGGCACGTCCTGGACGCTGGCACGGGGAGGCCCGCGGCGCACGGTGACCCGCGGCCCGTCTGCGCTCACCCTGGTAGAAGACGTCCACGCAGGGCTGGTCGGCACTGACGGCCTTCAGGATCCCCGAGTACAGGGGGAGCACCCCGACGATGTTCCTGTGGTGGGCCAGCAGCCTCTGCACCGTCTCCTGCTCCGAGATGCCCGCGGGCACCACCAGGCGTTTCTGGATCTCCAATTCGGGGGGCCAGTCGAAGGTGGTGTGGTAGATCTCTGCCGGGACAGGGGGGCTCAGTGGGCGTCACCTGCTCCGCCGCCGAGGAAGCTGCTGCATGGGGGGGTCGGGGGGGCTCACCTCCAGTGTGAGGGTCGATTCTCTTCCCCAGGTTCCTCTCGATCAGCACCGTGTCCGGAGCGCTCAGCACGACTGGGCGCAGGAGGAAGGAAGGAAACCAGGCGCGTTGGGCACCGGGTCCAGACAGCTGAACCTCACGGCCCTACACTTGTCTCACGTGCGTCTCTCTGCGTAATGACATTAAAACCACCACCGTCTCCCACCCCGAGGGGTCTTCTCAGCACCGAAACACAAAGGACACGGCCTGGGGACCAGGACGGTGCACACCTGACTGCTAACAATTTTCACTGTCATACAAAACACCGCGAGGGACATCTCTGTGCTTGACGCTTTCGCCGCATTTTAGGTGATTTCCTAAAGAGTTTCTCAGTTGGGGGACTCCTGGAACAAGGAACCACCAGGGTAAAAATAAAACCCCACTTTTTTCAGCACGAACCCCAAATGCATTTGGTTCTCTAAAATATTCAACAGCACTGGCCCCCTTTTCCCCTGGGATGGTGCCTGGACTGTGGGTGGGCCCTGGCGGGGGGGCGAGGGGGCCACTCACCGATGTGCCTGGGGGCGATCCCGAGGGTCTGCATCATCAGCGCCTGCTCCCGAGTTTCCGGGATGCCGTCCAGAATCCAGCCCTAGGCAGAGAATTTGGAAAGGTGCTCCCCTATTTTTATTTTTTAGGTTTTTTGGGGAATTAATAAAGGAATATGCTAGCTTTATAGAAAGTCTGGAACTTTTAAGACCAAAGAAAGTAAAATCAGCCGCATTTGTAGTCTGGGTTTTTTTGGGGGGGTTGTGTGTGTGTGTGTTTTCCTGTAAAGCAAAAACATTCCACGAACGTCTCGTCGCAAGATGCTCCTTCCCTGGGAGCTCTGGCGGCTGCCTGGCTTGTGGGGCGCAGCTGGGAACGTTCGCCAACCCTCACGGCCGCTCCCTTGGTTTCACTCCCTTTTTTCACCTTTGTCTAGGAACCGCGCTGGGCGGACCTCCTGATGCACATGCAACAGCCTCTGGATAAATTTCTAAACGCTGTCGCCTCGCCTGTGACCTTGGACGCGTTCTGCCAGGTCCCTGCCACACCGCCTGGCCCGGCCACGAGTCCGCTGGCAGCTGTCTCCCTGCATCTTCCTCAACCAGGGCAGGCGCCCCTGGGGAACGCCTGGGCCCGCGCTGCTGATTTACATCTCTTTGATCATTAATGAGGCTCGGCCTTCTTTCCATATGTTTATTGGCTGGTCGAATATTTTCTTTTCCAAAAATGCCTATTCATGCCATCTCTCCACTTTCCCCTCGGGGTTTTACCCCTTTATTTATTTACGAGAGCTCTTTACATGTTAAAAGCATTAACTCCTTTTGGCAAACAGGACCACAGACCCCAGCTTGCCTCTGGCCTTTCAGTTTCGCGGGCGGGGCTGTTTTTCACACACGGGCCTTCGCCCAGGTCGGCCATCGCTTTCCTCCAGATTCTCACGTCCTGTGGACTTGTGCAAACGCTGAGAAACGTTCACTTGCATTTCCATCCTGTTCTCCTATGGTTTGTCTTTACAGTTAAATACCGAACGGAGCCACATTTTATCTTGAGAGTGATGCGAGGCGGAGCTCAGACTTGTTTTCTGGTGGCCCAGCAGCCGCCCCAGCCTCGTGGGCTCCCCCTCCGACCGCCGCTTCCATCGCCGCCTGAGCGCTGCTGCGCGTTGGCTCCGGCCCCTTGCTGCCTATAGACAGACACTTGTGCGGTCCTCGCTCTGTTGAAACTATTGCCACCTTATAATTTATTGTTTCATCTTATAGGTCGTGTTCCTCCTTCGTCTTTTTTCAAAAACGTTGCTCTCCCAGGTAAGCAGCAAAAACATTTTGCCAAGTTCCAAAATCGAAATTCAACTAGGCTTCGGTAATGACATGAACTGTAGAGGTTAACTTTTGAAGAATTGACATTTTTGCAATATCTGGTCAATACACGATCTTCCCGTTTGCTTAAGTTGTTGTTGATGTCCCTCAACAACGTTCACTTTAAACAGTGTCTGACGTCTTTTCAAGTTCCGTGAGCCAGGTCACACACACACACACACACACACACACACACAATTTAATGCTTTCCACCTGACAGCCAGGTAAATTGGGTAAGGTGAGCTTTGCAAGAGTGAAATAAAGCCACAAATAGCTCCAGGTGTTCCTCCTTTCTGCAGTGGGGGAGAGGGACGGTTCTGACGCTGGTTCTCAGATGGGGACCCGGACACTCCCCGCCCCAGCCACAGGCCCCGCCCTCTAGGTCATTATGAGAATTGGTTGCTTCAAGGTCAGAGGATGGACAGGGGTGAGCTCAGACCCAAGGTCGCTCATAACCCATGACACCTGATTCCCAGCACACCCATGTGGACGGGAGCAAGAAATGTCTTTCTAAAAAATAAATATTTAGGCTCCAACAGCCTCAAGTGACAGTTTTAAAGAAAAGCTAAACAGATTTACAGAGTAGAGAGTGTTGGGAGAATCAGGCATGCTCCCATTAATTTCTTAAATTATGCAGGAAAATGCACAGCCACGGAACCCCTGGTTCCTAAACCAACAAAGCAAAAGTGCGAAAGAGAATTTTAACAGCCGTTTGCTCCCTCAAGTCCTTGTTAGAGCCAGCCAGGCGCTGGGCTGCGGCTCTCCGAGAAGAGCGAGCGCGTACAGATGCGCCCCGCCGCAGGCGCCGGCAGAGTCTGGGGGCCCCGCTCTCCGGGTCCCGGAAGCCGAGCCCCGGGTTTCTGAACTTCAGCTACACTCAGACGGGTTCCCTTTATTTGCTGGGGAGGGGTTGGGAGCCACCGGCTGCTCCCTCCAGGACAAGGGCTGGTGATGGCGTTTTGAGCCCTTTTGAAGCTGAAGGAGGGTTGGAGCCAGGAGGGCTTTGCGTTTAATACCGCATCGCGAGCAGTCATTAGCTGTCGCACATACGTTTGCAGCTGAAGCAGTATGTGGTCCAAAGCTTTTAGAACTGTTCAGGGGAACAGCTCTCACTGGAGAGAGCGGGCTCCCAATTACGCAGGAAAAGTGCAGCAAACGAGGAACATCTCCCTAATTAGCCCGGCCTCGCCGGCGCGTCGGGCCTGCGCGGATCTGAGGCCTACAGGCGGAGAAGGTGGGGGCCCTGGAGCAGATCCCAGGCCAGCAGCTCTCCAGGCTGCTCCTTCAGAATCAGAGGTGCTAAGAAACAGGTCCCCAGGGACCCCTGAGGGCAGCCCCACACCCCACTAGTGCAGCCCCGCGCTGCATGGGGAAGGCAGCCCCAGCGACCCTTCACCAGCGCTGGCCCAGGCGGGTCCGCCAGGAAGGCAGGGCACCGTGACCAAGGCCCCCGCATCCAGAGGGCCGGTCCCGGGGGCATCCTCAGGACGGGAGCCCCAGGCTCAGCCCCAGCAGACCTTTCCCAGAGCGCCTGCGTTTGCAGAGGGTCGTGGAACTGCCCGGCTGCCAGAGGGGCTGTACTTTCAAGGGAAACAGCAATTTCGGCTGAGAGCAAGTTCATGGCTGCACAGCCGGCAAAGCAAGAAGTCACAGTCAGCAAGCAGCCGGCCGCCCCAGCAGCAGGCTCGCTGGGCCCGGGCCTGCCTCCCAGGAGAGCTGGGCGCGGACGCTGAGCCGCCCCCGACTGGAACGGTGATCCATCCGGCTGACGCTGCAGCGGGGCAGGATCCACCCGGCTGACACTGCGCGGGCCGCCTGCCGGCCGGAGCCGGGCTTTGCTCCGAGCGGGCTGATTGATATTCCGCGGCTCGCGCCCCCACACCCCCGTGGCCTGGTTCTGTTTTATCACACATCAAAGAGGCGGCTGCCGGGGCAGCCCGGCACCGGCGAGCTGGGGGTCCGCGCAGCTGCGAGGGGTGCGCAATCACAGGAGGGACAAGCGCCGAGCAGATGTCACGGCTGAGAAGAAAGGGAAGCAAAGCAGCCAGGCAGCCGGGAAGCCGGCGAGGCCGCCGAGCGCTCTGAACGCCGGCCTTCCCGCCCTCCTGGCTGTTATTAAAGCGCAATGAGCCACGGCGCGGGCGTGACGCCTGCCCTCTGGGCCCTCCGCCTTTTTGATGCAGTCGTTCCCCCCCCCAAAGACCAGAGGGGGCGCTCCCCTGCGTTTTCCCGCAGGACGCCCCATCCAGCTCCCAGCTCCAAGTGCAGACTCGAGGGGCGGCCCCCGGGGCCCAAAGCGGACTCCTCACAGCCCCGAGGAGGCCACCGGGGGCTGAAGGTCTGGACTCAATAAGCCGGACTCACTCAGCTCAGAATCAGAACCGGGGACGAGACACAGACGCACCGCAGCCTTTTTCCTCATGAAGTAGTTCGTGGTTTCCCAGCACAGAAAGGAGAAGGGAGGAGACATCTTATCAGCCAGAAAATAAATGCATCTTAAAAGACCAAGTTTGGCACATTGATGTGTCCCAGAGACAATCAGCGAGGACAACGCCCGCGGTCCTCCCTCGGCACCTGCGGGCGCTGGCTCCGGGCCCCTGTGGGTACCACAGTCCGAAGGTGCCCAAGTCCCTTACACAGGACCACAGGGCACAGTGCATATGGTCGGCCTCTGCATCCACGGATCCCCAGCCACGGATTGAAAGTACTGTTTTCCACCCACACTTGGCTGAACCCGCAGATGCAAAACCCGGGGATACGGAAGGCCGACTCTACATTTATTGGGGAAAAATTCCACATGTAAGTGGACCCACGCTGTTCAAACCATGCAGTTCAAGGGCCGACTGCATTTTGATGACTAGCAACATTTTAATTTCCAAGTTTAACCTCAACAACATGCCACACCGCTGGCATTCCCGACCACGCTCGAGTCCACGAATGTCACGGGACCGTCCGGCTCTGCCCCACCCCAGGCAGCCTGGGGCTCCCAGGGCCTTTTTACCGCACAGCCCAACACTGCATGTGCTCAGACTGGGCTGAGCTGCGCAGGAGCCGTGCACCTCGGTGACCCACGCGGGGCGTTTTTATGCAAACACGCGGGTCCAGGCACGTCTGTTCCCCAAGACTGAAGCTACAGCCAGGTGTTCAAAGCCAGTAGGGCACCGGTGTGAAGTTCAAGAGGCTTTTTATTTATCTGCAAACAGCTAAAAAGTATTTTACAGTCAAACGCACATCAGATGCCTGGGTAGCCCAGGAAGCCGCCCTGGGGAGGAAGACGCGGCTGGAAGGCTACACTGTCTGTCCCCACATGGGCCAGGGCCACCCAGCTCCGAGTCCGGGGCGACACGGAGCTGACCCGCTGCAGAGATAACCGGCTTTACGGATTCACATTCCGTGCTCGGGCTCGGACGCGGCAGGCTCCCGCTGAAGCGAGGGGGGTGGGCGACCCACACACTGTGCGAGGCCTGTTCCTCTCCCACATCTTAGAGCCCACCCCTGGTTCAGAAACAAGACTGGCCCTTCGGGTGTCAGTCATCGCCAAGGTGAGAAGCGGGGACGCTGGAGCAGCCGTGCCGCTACCAGGGGACTTTCACCGTCCACAGCCCCCGCCCTGTCTGGTCACGGCCATCGGAAAACACATGCCCTCCGCCTGTTCCCTCCGGCTCCGCTCCCTGGGGCCCGACCTCCCTGCACATCTCCCTAGACGCGTTCTCAGCTCTGCTTCCCGAGACCAGACCCCGCTCTGTTG